CTTTACTTATCTCACAGTGATTTGCTGCCTTATTTGGTCCTGAGTTCCAGGGTCTGTAAAAGTGATTCATACTCATTTAAAGCACTGCGTCTCGCCAAGCATTTTAAATGCAATACTCTGCATTTAGCCCCGCAGCCTCACTACCAGCAGGCACCTCCTGGTGTTGTAGCAAAACCTTGCTCTGCTTCTATGCCAGAAATGCAATGTGGGCTACTTCTTTGGGACCCTCATCCCACCTGTGCTGCCCATCTGATGTCACATGGAGATCCAGCAATTCCCAGGGCCAACCCAGGGCAGAGGAACCGCAGGACACAGAGCCGAAGTGCAGCACTGCCACCACTGCCAGAAACCCACAGCTTTTGGCCATGCTAGGAGAAAAGGAAAAAAAAAAAAGCACAAAATACTCTGGTTAAAATGGTGAATTTTTCTCCAGCAAAGTGACAACACATTGCTAGTGAAAACTGCCTTTCATTAGAGCAAAGAGGGGCAAGGGAGATAAAAATGAAATAGGCCGTGCTTTTCTTCCATTTATGTCCTCTTTGCAAACCTTGATGGTTTTTTTTTTTCATTGTTTGCTTGCTTTATTTTTTCCCTTTAGATCCCTCCAGCAATGAGAAATCTTATTACAATTTATTGTGCATTTGACTAGGAATTTAGGGATCTCAAATCACAGCCCAGTCTGGCAAGAAATGCTGATAGGTGTAATAAGAGGCAGGGAATGCTCTGAGCAGATTTTACTCTAAATAGAATAGCCAAGTGACAGAGGGAAAGTGGGTGAGGAGATTTTCCCATGGTCACCCTCAGAAATCAGTGGCAAAAGTGGGAATCAAATCCAGATCTCTGCCTCCAAAGCCATTGAACCACTGTCCTCCTGGGGAGGACAAGGAGTAAATGTAGCAATGTGGCTGTGATACTGAATTCCCAAACTGGAAGCCAGCACCGTGCCCTTCCTGCTGCTCTGCCTTGTGCCTGGAGCTCTGACAAACTGCATGTGGAATTAGGCAGAGCTCATTTGCCCAGCAGTAATGGGAGCAGTTCATAATATGCCCACCACGTTGGCCATCATCCCTGCCCTGAGAAACCTCATCCTCACATACAGCAATGCATCTCTGCCTCTGCAACAAGGGAACTCAAGGATCCTCTTTGCTACAGTGGAGCCACCTGGGTTTTTGGGACTCTGGACTGAGGAACAGGATGACAGCTGTCAGCTCTGCCAGTTGCTTTGGGCAACATTGGCCAAATCATTTGGCACTTTGAGGAGGGTAGAAGAAGACCCAGTTTGGTAGTTTCCAAGTGTCAGTAACTCCAGCTCGCTCTGCTTGCAGCTGTAGAACATCCACAGCACCAAAGCAATATGCTGGGAGCACCAGCTTTGGGGCAACCCTGGCTAACAGGCACTCTGCACTACACGATGCAGATACAGCCCCAAACCACCACGTGCCTCAGTTTCCCCATCTGTTCAATGAGGCTTATTGTCCCATTTGTTCTGTGTGGTTGGCGTTGCACTGCCATGCAGAACCTGACAGAAAGGAGCTCAGCAGTTGGGTGAGCATCATTCTGGAGGTCAGGCAGTTCAATCCCAGTGGCTCTGCTTCTTTCAGGCACACACCTGCCCACCTCTGCACGCTGCAGCTGGGTTACAAACTGGCTCACCCACCCACCCACCATCTCATCCACAGGCAGATTGCTCAGGGCGCAGGAAATCTCCTGGAAAGAGTGAACCTTGTCAGCAAAAATGCAAATATTTGGAGACAAAGTGTTCATTACGGCAGAACTTGATTTCAGGGTCAACCCTTTTTGCAGCAAATTGTTAGCCAGCTAAAACGTTTATTGTCACCACACTCTGGCAGTTTTGACAGTAGCTATCAAGTTGAGCTTGACAATATCTGCATACCACAGCCATCAGTGAGGCGGTGGAGGCAGTGACTGCAGGCAGGAGGAAACAGTCACCAAACAACTGGAGCAGTCCCCATCTTTGTGACACTTTGGGGATTTGTGGACTAGGGGAACAGTGCCCAGTGACGGAGGTGTGCAGCGCAGGCTGTTGGTAATATGGGGATGGGGTGAATTGGCAATTTTTATTTTTATTTTTTTTCAGATGCAAAACTACATGCACCGAGCAATTGAATCCCCCCCAGTCTGGCAGTGCATCAGCAGGAATCAGACCACAAAAGGACAGAATTTCTTTTGGTCTTTTTCCATGGGAGACACATGGCTTCCCTGGATGCACAGCAGGGAAACATTCAGGCGTTGGTAGAGTTTCTGTGATTTCTCCCTGTTCCCATTTGTAATCTTTATCTCCAGTGTTTAATTCTCCTCCTATTGAGGAGCAACAACGCTGGCAAGCCCAGAGGCAAATGGCTGAGCTCCCATTGCTTGGTGATGGCTCAGAGGCCAGGGGATGGAGGGAGCTGGGGCCAGACCTGCCTCGCTGGGAAGGGGAAGCAGAAAGGAGGCAGCAGATGGAGTTTGGGGGAATATAAGGATGAGGATGAAGTGTCTGGAAAAAAACAAACAACCAACAACCAAAACAACTAAAACAACACCAAAAGGGAGTCAAAAAGGCAGCTACAGTCACAAGACCTGTGTATACTATTGTAGGGTTCCTCTACTAGACAGAAGAGAGCATCTTCCAGCTCAGGGGTGAACTAACTAAACTAAAAGCTGCTGTGCTTTTCTGTCCTCTGAATCTTCGCCTTTTCCCCCAGCTAATGCATGGGGAAGGTGGGCTATTCTGGATTCACTGTGAATTGGTTTCATTTCCTTGCTTGCTGGAGCTGGGTAAGGGCTATTTCATCTCAACAGGCTTCTCCCAGCACACCTTAATTTGAGATCTCCTGCATGCAGGAAGCAATGGAGTTAAGTGATCTTGCTGAATCCCGACCGCTGCAGCTGCAGGAGAACAAGGAAGGAAAAGAAGAGAGGGGAGGAGGAAGAAGCACTTTGCAGTCTCCCATTAAAGCCCCAAGAGGCTGAAGATGAGAGAGTGAAAGTTTCAAATTGCCAGAATGTAATTCTGAAAGTCATTTTCCAAGCGCGGAGCGCTCCACAATGTCACCTCTCATCTTCCAAGGTGGGGATAGAAGAAACAAAAAAGCACAGAATATTCTGCACAAAGACAGAGCTGCTAATACAAAGACAGAAGAGGTGTCAGTCCCCAAACAGGCTTTCTGGCACCGCCTTCTTCTGGGAGATCTGTGCAGCTCGGGTGCACCTGTACTGGGGAACCATCAGCTCCTTTCCCAGGCCGCATCCAACCTGGGTGAGCGCTCTGGCTGAGCTGACGATGGCTTTTTCCAGCTCTCCTAAGAGCAAGAATATCAAAGAAGTCTGCATATTCAACAGTTACAGTTTACATTTGAATGAAACTCCTGACCTTCAATTCAATACAGTGATTATGTTAATGATTAATACTATTATTAATTTCTTAGCCTTCTCTAGCAAAAGACTGTGATGGATGTGCAGGAGAAAAGGTGCACTTAGATATTCACCCCCCTCTGCCCAACCCAACAAAGCCATCCCTCCCCGCTCCCCCTTCCAGCTCTTTGCCTTCAAAGAAATCTGAATTAAGGAGTTAGATGCATTCAACAAATTGTTCAGCCCAGGATTTCGTACCAAAGAGCGAATTAGCCTCTTGTTCTACATTCTTTGCTGACCTTTATTCCAGCTGCACCCCCTCTTATGTTTATAAAATAAAAAATTACCCAAATATACAGGCATGCCCCGCTGAGATAGATTGCATTCAACACTCCTTCAGCTAATATCAGCTTTGTCCAGGGCTCCTTATTACTGGTGCCACCTGTCTCTCCAAGCGCAGGCTTTGCCTCTTTCCCTTCCCCAAATTACTCGAGCTGAGGCTTGGGTGGGCTTGCCCTCTCCCTGCAAATGCACTTATTTACCCACACATGTCAGAGTGCTGAGTTTTCTTCCTGATAATCAGGCTTTTTGCCAGGCATTCCCTCCCCTCTCCCACTTTCAGAAATGGCACTTTCTCCTCTTAGCACGCCAGGGCTGGCCCGCGGAAGGAGCTGCCCATGTTTTTATTGAGGGTGATGACCAGAGTGCAGCAGGCCACTCCACCTACAGAAGGCACTTTGCCCTCTGAGGCAGCAGAGTAACAAAGTTCAGTGCTGTCATCCATTGTGATCACAATCCTGGTTAATTTTCCTTTTATTATATTATTATTATTGGATAACTATATGGGTGTTCGTTTTGTTTTTTGTTTTTTGTTCTTTTTTCCATCAGGGATGTCAGTAAATGTTCCTGGCTGGCCTGTAGCCAATTTTCTCCAGCTGGGATCAGTTCAGTCCAATGTTGCCATCTGTCCTTGGAGGCAGAGGGGTGTCCTTTTCCATTTCGGATCTCTCCCAGAAGCGATTCCATCCTCCCTCCCCCCCTCCCCCCAGCTTTGACCAAAGCATCCAGAAAGCTGTGTGTAGCCATCATGGGACTCATGCACTCCCAAACAGACTCAGGCATACAAGATGTTCAACTGCCTGGGACGTGGCTGTGGTCATGGTCAATCTGCTCACCTCCAGGGTGACCTGGAGAAGATTTCACTCTCTAAACACAGATGAGATCTCTTGAGGTCTCTATGTCATAAACATAGAGAACTGGATGGGATCCTTTGGGAACGGCCTGAAGGGGTGCAGGCGATTACACCCCTTTGCTGAGTTATTACGCATATCATCACATCTCCTTCTCCTAATTAAAAGCACAAACAACGAACGGCTCCCCTTCCCCAGCTTCTCCCCCTTTACCCTTTGCATAGCCGGGAGGGGTGGGCGGGGATGGGGTGGAGGGGGTGGGGTGGGGGTGGGATGGGGGGGGCGGGGGGGCCGAGGGGGGAGAGGCAGATCCATTGTACGGGGCCCCGCGGCGCCCGCCCCGCGGATTGGCCACCGAGTGCGCTGCAGTGATTTTGCGGCGAGGTCCCATTGGCCGCCGGCACGGATAAGTTTTTGCTCCGGACGGCAACTTTTCTCAGGGATGGAGTAAATTCGGACCCCGCCGCTTCCCTTTCTCGCTTTCCCGGCGAAGTCAGACATCGCTCCACGGCAACGATGAAGCTCTGCGGGACTTTCCTCGGTTCGTAACCGTCCGCCGGTGGATGCAGGGCGGGGGGAGGGTTGGGAGGAGTGAGCCTGGGGGGTGGGGGTTTCTGGGTTTCTCCTGTTTCCCCTCCGAAACACTCGAACAGCCTCATTCTGCCCAAGCCACGCCTCGGCAAAGGGGTTCGGTGAGCTGGGAGGGTGGCGGCCTCTAAAACTGCCCTGCTGCCCTTGTTCTAGGGGGGCTTTCTCCCCCCCTCCCTCCCCCCAATGGCACAGCGGAAAGCCTGTTTCAGAGCGCGGCTTTCCTGCTTTCCTGTCCTTGAGTTTAGCGGGCGAAGCCTTGGGCTCCTTCCCCGTTCGTTTTGCGTCGGGCTTAACCCCGAAGGGTTGCGGGTGCGTGGGTTCGTGTGCGGCCCCGGGGCTTTGTCCCGCTACCGCGTATTTCGGCTAATTACAAAGGATGAGGAGGGAAGGGGTGGGAGGATGAGGAGGGAAGGGGTGGGAGGATGAGGGGAAAAAAATCCTGTTGTCTGCCACTTCTGTTCAGATGTTTGGTTGCTGTTGTTGTTGGCTTTCCGGTTTGTTTGTTTGTTTTACGCTCTGCAGTGAAGGAGTGAGGGTGGGGTGTTACCAAATATGAAGTTGGTTGGTTGCGTTTCAGCGCCCGCATTAACCGAGGCACAAAGGGAAAGTTCTGGGATAACGCAGGTGCTCTCCACAAACGGCGGTGATTGCTCCAATTGTTGCTCGTTAGGGAAGTAAAAGGCTCTAGATGAGGGTCAAACAAAGGCATCGCCTCTTTGGGAAGGAGCCGACCAAACCGGGGAGAAGGGGCGCTCCCGAGAGCGAGCAAAGGGTTATTAAAAGTTTTTTTTTCTTTTTTTTTTTGTGCCTGTGCATGTTGTTCCATCTGCCAGGGGCCTGTAGTGGGCAGGTTTCTTCGCAACCCTTCAGCTGTTCCATATACAATATTAATGCTGGCCATTTCTATTCGGCATACAACAGCACTAATTGTAGTCTGAGGCATTAAGGCAGCCAGCCCATCTGCATAGAAGCTTTCAGAAAGAAACAAGGAAAAAATCTTCCACCCCCAGCTGGTAACCGGAGAAGTTGGTGCCAATTACAAATGCATGAAGTTTGAGATCTAAATTACTTTGAAACAGTCTCAACGAAGCGAGCAAAATGCAGTGCAGTGTTTTTATGTGCGCACTTACACAAGCAGTTGCAGTTTGATTTTAAATAATCTGAAAGTTGAAATGTTCGATCTGAATACACGAACATGGGAGAACAATAATAATAATAAAAAAAATGCTGTGGGGACAGCAGCGAGGGGAATCCACTTAAAAAGAAAAAGAAAAAAAAAAAAAAAAAAAGAAAGCCAAAAACCCTTTTGGCGTTCATTTCTGCAGGCTGCGTGCAGTCGGTTTCTCAGCGCGCTCATCTCAAACAACGCTCTGGAGGCGAAAATATTTGAATATTTCATTTTATACCTTCCTGCTGCACTGCTCCCTTCAGGGATGAGGCGGCCGAGGAAAGCACAGTAATTATCTGCTGCCTTCCGACGGCTGCGAAGTGACTCCGGAGGGCCGGGAGAGGCGCGCTGGGTCGGGGCGGCTCCAAGGGCCGGGACGGGCGGGGCAGGGGCGCCGGAGCTGTCCGTAGCCGTGGTGCTGATCCGACGGCCGATGCGGCTCGGCCCGGTTGCAGCCCCACCGGACACCTCGCCTTCCCTCCGGTGGGAGGATGCTGGCAGGCTTGATTCCGAGGTGTTGGGTGATTTTTGAGGATCTTGGGAGCTGAGTGGTTTTTTGTTTGGTGGTGGTGGCTGATTGCGCTGCTTGGGTAGGTTTTGAGAGGAGGGGAAGGTGAAGTCTGGCAAGTTTGGCTCCTCTTTTGTTTCCAAACACCCTCTAGTAACCCAGACCTTAGTAAAATGGTACCAAATCTGATAGCTTGATCTACCTTAGGACTCTTGTGTATATCCTGTCAATAAACGCAACACTAGCAGTAATAAAGTGTCTATGTATTAATACACAGGTATGTTTGCACATATGTTCATTTGTATGTGTGTGTGGTGTGTACAGATTTATGTGGAAACACATAGAAGAAAACTCACCCCCCCTCCCCCCCCCCCTTCACCTACCAACCGATTTATTATGCTTTTGTTTCTCAAGTTTTAGAATTGTATCTCTAAATAAAATAGTAGTGGAGAGCACCAGACAGCACTGTGGGGAGATGAGCTGAGCCCTCCCGTCCCTCCCTTTGATTCTATCATGGGTGCAGAACAATGGAGATGCAGTGTAGCACCAGGCCTGCTGCCTGCAGATAAGAGTTTAATAGAATTTCTGAATGCCAAAGGTTTAGGATGTAAAATATCTCTGTCTTCGTGGTGTGCCCAAAGTAGATAGAAAACAGCTTTTTAGGAGTACTCTCTGCCGAATACCTCCTTTATATTTATGGTTTTAGGAGCAAACCAGGCTTGCAAGTCGTGGAAATGGGTATCATAAGAATTTCCAAAACATCCTCTACAGTTTAAAATCACCAATATTTTTGTCACCCTCTTCTCAACAAAACCCCCAAAATGGGGAATTCAGTCAGTATCCTCACCCCGTTCTGTGGGTGGGACGGTGCTGCGTCTGGTGGTCCTTTAAGTCCTCTGTGCCAGGTAGGAATCTGGTAGAGTCTGTAAGGTGTGGGGCCAGGAGATGCAGCTCTGCCCAGTGTCGGGGCTCAGGCTGCCTGCAGGGAGGGCAGGACCGGCCCTCAGCAGCACGCTGCTCCCCCCCCCCACCAGGCTCTGCCTCTATCTACTCTGTCTCATCCCTCTGTAGGCTCCTGGGGTTTCCGTCCATTTGTGAGCTCCCTCATGTTTTCGAAAATCTTCATTAAGTTGACAGTCAAGTCTTAATCATCTCGGTGGTGCTGGGGATGGACTGGGGGGTGGGGAAGGGGGGGGGGGGGGGGGGACAGGGAAAAAGTGCTGGGCAGGAAGGCGAGCCTCCTACTTCCCACACCTCAGGCGGGTGCAGCGTGCCTCTGTTTCTCCCTCTATTTCTGAAAAGTTGTGATCACAGCACTAATGCTCCCTGTAGCGTGCTGATGCCTTTCGGCTTGAGGTGGCGGTGGGGTGGGGGGAGGGAAGGGGGATGTCTGGTGCTGCTGGCGTCCAGGTCCCCACCAAACAGAGGTGTTTGTGAAGGAAAATGGCTCGTGGAAAAACGCACACTTTTCTCACTTGGAAACGATTCCTGAACTGTTCTAGTCGCCGTTTGCTTTTGAGAGTTTTTTTTTTGTGTGTGTGTGTGCCATTCCTCTTCCTGTCACAAAGTCCAAAGCGTAACTCCGCTCGAGATGTGATCTGTCCTTCCTGGGGCGAGGTGATGTCTGCTGGGAGTACGTTGTATCATTTATGTATTTATTTAAGAGGAGAAGAAAAAAAAAATATATTTATATACCTTTTAAGCGCTTGCTTTTGAATATGCATATCAGCTAATAAGCAATACTTCCAGGTTCATAGAGGCGATAAATTTCCCAGTCTGTTCTTTATGGTGATAGGTCATCTTCCTAACCACCAATAAATATTGTAAAGTACTTTCGCTGGAGCTGTGCTAACCCAGGGCATCTGTCACTCGCTGCTTGCTGCTATTAGGAATTATTGGGCCGTACCATGCGTCAGGATGCGCGGGGGGGGCGGGGGGGGGGGGGGGGGAAATGGCACGGCGCTTGTCGCGCTTGCCGTCCTTTTGTGTTGCTGCCATCAAAGGAGCCCCGAGCCTCGTGCATATTAATTATGAATCAGTTCAGGCAAAATCACTCACCTTCTGCTGGGTCTCGGGGAGGGGAGCGTGAGTGGAGAGGGGCTGGTGAGGCGAGGGGAGCCCCAACTCTCCGTGCGCTCAAGTCAGCAGCTCCATCTCTCTCTCTCTTTTTGATGCTATACTGTAAATTTATTTCACCTCAGAGAGTAAACAGATATATTGCAACCCCAAGGGTTCATGGGTAGCGTATTTACAAAGGGAAGGCGCAGCAAGCCCCCTCTGTGCCATTTCCATTAATGAGAGCGGTCATTAAGTAAATGAGACATTGCCTTTAGCAGGCTTAAGAGTTCACACACTAAGGAGTATCAGATATTTAATTGAAACCAACAACCCGTCTTACACGCGTGTTACTGGTGTAGGGAAGTGGGCTGCCCTCCAAGAACTCTCCCCCCCACAACCTCCCCCATGCAAATTTCATGATTGGTTTCCGTGATGTCATTTTGCAAAGGGGCAGACAATAGCTGTGGGGAAAGGTAAGTCAATATTATGTTCTTTCGCTGACAAAGGCAGATAATGCTGGCTTTTTTTCTTTTCTTTTCCTCTTCTTTTTTTCTTTTTTTTTCCCATCTTTTTTTTTTATTTTTTTTCCCTCCCTTGGAATGAAGGAGAGAGGAAAGGCTTTTGGAGCACACAGTTGATGTAAACAGACGCAGGCTTTTAGAGCACGAAGGCTGGGTTGTTGTTTTGAAAACTGCACTGGAGAACCGAGGGGATTTTATGATGATCATCATGCTCCTAGGTCCATCTTTGCTCGTTCGCTCTCTCGCCGGCTGCGAGATGCTAGTGGACATGTTCTGCTTCTGACTGAAAAGAGGTTGAATAAGACGAGGAAGGAGGAGATATATATATAAAAAACAAACAAAAAAAAAGGGCATAACATCGCCTTCAGCCGGGAAACTTTCTGAATATTTCTGGAAGAGGATAAGAGGATGCTTGCCGGGTTTACAGACCGACAGCTCGGCGGATGTTTATCCGGAGGGCAGCGCGCTCGGTGTTAGCAGAAGACGCTCCGGGCGCCGGGACGGGGCTCGCTCAGCCGCCGCGCTCCGCGGAGCTCTCTGAGGTGCTGATCGCGGCTCCGCGTTGTCCCGGGGGGCTCCCCGACCCCCTGCCGGCCTCCTCCAACCCCGCTCCGGGGAGGCAGCGCGCCGCTCGCCGCCGGTACCGAGGGGTGCGTGAGTGTGTGTGTGTATATGTGTGTGTATGTGTGTGTGCT